AAAAGGTATATATAGTCATCAATTGTGAAACATTTTTTCCTTCAAAATGTATAACATTTTGCAAATTGCTTCATTCATTTCAGATTTAATTGACAACATTTTCTATTGCTACATTCATTTCAGATCTAATTGACAACTATTTTCTATTGCTACAAGTCTGCAATATTTGAAATGTGGAAAAAATTATGTGGCTCATGACAAAATTTGACTTTGCTGTTGAAAAGTTTAATAAATCAGTGATCAACATCGGAATTAATTTCTAGAGATTACATATTAATACCAGTAACTGAATTCATATTGACAATGTTTGGTCTGATATCACTAGTTTAAAACATTTAGTATTTTTATTCTCTTTCAGTCAATTCTGTGATGTGCTCAAAGGACAGAGATCACAGATCCTTGACATAGACCTGTCTATGTCCTGAACTTTGCCTGCTTAGAACGTACTTGTAAATACCTGTTACAGCACCCAACTTTTTGAAAATTAAAATGAAGTGTCCCAATGTGAAAACAAATTCTTTAAAATATGGGTAAACAATGCAAAATATTGATGTGATTTGTTGAGGGGGATGCTAAAAACAGGTTTACTTAGTTCAACCCCAGAATCAAATGTTTCACCACTTATAGGTGAGAGAATAATTAGGTAGTTGTTCTACTACGAAGAAATGGTGGATTTATTGTTTATTTTCATAATCTGGTGGTGGTGGATACGATGTGGCTACTGGCTGTGGTGGATATTGTCCTGTTAGTGGTTGATATTGCCCTGGTGGTGGTAGATATTGTCCTGATGGTGGTGGATATTGCCCTGGTGGTGGTGGTGGTGGATATTGTCCCATTGGAGGTGGATATTGCCCTGCTGATTGTGGTGCATATTGAGGTGGAGGATAATAGCCGGGTGGGTAAGGGTAATAAACCGGATATGGCTGTGGTGGTGGTGGTGATTTTTCTTTTTTCTTTGTTTCCTAAGATCATGGATATAATTGTTAGTTCTTGTCTGCATGCGAAGGGGAAAAATGTTGGAATTGTGATGTAGCTCTTGGCTCATGAGAACAACTATTCAAATTACCATGATAGAGGGTGCCAATTTCATCAAAATCTTGGATTTGGTGGGAAATGAGAAAATTAACAATACAATTGAGGACACTTTTTCTGAATGTTATACACGTTACTATGGTTTCAAAATCACATGTAACCAATTTGGATCAACGACACTCTTTCAGAAATTAACATGTATATTTTTGTTTTGAAAATCACGTGCATGTCCTACTTTGGAAAAAGACACGTATATAATTTACTCACATGCACGTGGTAAACCACTTTAGTCTGCGGCTCTTGTTCAACAACCTTGTTTCTTGAGGAGTTGGATACAGCCGATGCTGTTGCCCCGGCAACCGCTCCTAGGGCGGCTGCACCGACTAAGCGACGAACAGGACGTGGACCGCGTGGACCTCCAACGACAACAACGCGTCTCTACGAGATAAATGGAGAGATAAAGAAAGCAACACAACTTATAGTAATTTTGGTAAAATTTGTATGTTTTGTATATGTGTTTTAGCAGTTAATGTAACCATTTTAATCCATTCTGATGAATTTTCAGTGTTTCAATAAACTAAACTACAATATACTAGTAATTGTTATAATTTACTTCGTATGGGACCCGTGAATTTACTCAATACCGGAAAAGGTGTTCATTCGCATTACGCAACAACTTGAACCAATCAGTGCGATTCATCGTGATTTAACACTGACCATCCACCAATCGGTGCGATTCATCGTGATTTAACGCTGACCATCCACCAATCGGTGTGATTCATCGTGATTTAACACTGACCATCCACCAATCGATGTGATTCATCGTGATTTAACACTAATCATCCACCGATCGATGTGATTCCTCGTGATTTAACACTGACCATCCACCAATCGGTGTGATTCATCGTGATTTAACACTAACCATCCACCAATCGATTAGATTCATCGTGATTTAACACTAACCATCCTCCAATTGGTGTGATTTGTCTATTTACTCTGACCGTCCACCAGTCGGTGTGATTACAGAGTGGTTACATAAACCACGGTTACTAGAAACCTTCATAAACTGTTTAAAGCGCGGTGGTCGTCGCGCAGCGCGTGTTCGAATTTCATTGCAGTTTAACGTTTGCATATTTAGTGACTAGTTTTTAAAATATTTACTCTATAGTGACTCTATAGCACTCAGTATCATAATATATCTCTTGTCACAATGCTCAAAGTCATCGCGTAGCGTGCCTTAGAATTTAGTTTAATACATCAAATGTATTTACTTGCATGGAAGCCACATCGAACTATGAGAATATTTGGCTACAATGAATACTAGTATTAACTATGTCTAAGTGTGAAGATTGTGCTGCAACCAGAGAAGTTAAACTAACACGAGGTGACTTGCTTTTATGTAAGAAGTGTGAGTTGATCAGATACCCTCAAAATCGATACAATTTATGAACAAGCAATTTGAAGACATGAAAACCAAGCTAACATTTTTACAAGATTCAAATACCAGAAAGAGAATGATGAGCTAAAGAAGAGAATAGTTGGAGAGTCTGGAGCAAGAGGTAACTGACCTAAATCAATACCACCACAGGGTTAACCTTGAAGTAAGTGGTATTCCGGAAACACCCAATATAGAAGAGAATACAGGTAGCGCAGTTCTGAACATATTACATAAAATTGATCCAGAAATAACAGCAAATGAAATAGATATAACTCATCGCATAGGTACAAGAAAATCAGGAACCATGGCGACCCGGAGTGAGGAGAGACAACAATCGCGCCCGAGGCCTATCAATTTAAGATTTACCACCAGAAGACGTCGTAACAGTATATACAACAAAAGACGCAAACTTAAAGAATGAACACAATAACAATATATACATCAATGAAAACTTAACTCCAGCTGGGCGATCTCTATTAGGCAAGACCAAAGAAACAAAGCAAAGAAACGGACAGGATATAAATTTATGTAGACTTACAATGGGCGCATCTATGTGAAGAAGTCACGAGACCACAATACAATAATTATAAATACAGAAGCCGACATCAGTAAGATAATATAATGTCATTGTTTTCTGTTTCTCCTCCTAAATTTTAGTTATTATAAGTAATTTGTACATTCTCTTCAAATATGACTGCCAACCAAGAGATGAGAACAACACATAAATTTCATTGTAAATCATATTCCGTTAATGACTTTAATACGGAATTTCCAAAACCTCCACCAGGTTCTATTGCCATTATACATTTAAATATAAGATCTTTAAAAAAAATATTGATCAATTAAAAATTTTCTGTGAAAATACCTTATCACCAACATTTCAAATAATTTCTTTGTCTGAAATATGGCATGTGGATGATTCCTAATTATACTTTAGTTAAAAACTGTCGCACTACTCCTGGTGGAGGTGTGGCTGCATATATTCACAACTCAATCCCATTCAAAATATTAACAAAATTTGACATACATTAATCAGAATCATTGTGGCTTGAAATACAATTATCAACTACTATTTTCACTTTATGCATTATTTACAGGCGCCCTGGTTCAAGCATGGTACATTTTGGTGATGACCTTGTAAATTAACTTATCAACTCACAATCAACTAAATCCAACTTTATCTTCATTGGCGATTTCAATATTGATTATACACATGACAACCTTGTGAGTCAACGTTATTATTGACACAATGTCAGCCCTTAATTTCGAACAAGTAATTAACACCCCACCCGTATCATTTCTTCCTCTTTAACTACAATTAATCATGTATATTCAAATTTCTTTGATTATTTTGTTCACTGTGGGACTATATATGCAGATATTACAGATCATCTTCCATTTTTTGCCTCCATTGATAAAATGATACACAGAACTAAAGATTTTTCTAGGTATGATATTAATGACTTCCATCATCAACTCAACAACACAAATTGGGAAAATGTTTATAATACGGCTGATGTAGATACAGCTTATGATAATTTCACTGAAGTTTTCAACAAAGTTTGTGATAAAGTTGCCCCCGTAGTGAAACAGAAACTCAAATCAACGAAACCCAAAAATCCTTGGTTAACTCGAGGAATTATGAAGTCAATCAACCATAAGCATAAACTATATTATAAATTAGTGAAAAGTAATTATGATTCAACACGTCAACTTCAACACGTAACAGATACAAGAATATTTTAACTTCTCTTCGTCGAAAAGCCAAAAAGTTGCATTTCTCTAAGCAAATCAACGCCAACAAAAACAATTATAATAAACTGCGGAAAATAATTAATGAAGTAACTGGAAGAGTTGCTGCTAATCTGAATATCTGCATGATTCCCACAAAATAAGTGATTGTCTTAACAAGTTCTTCGCCAATATGGGAGAAGAACTTACTGAGAAAATAACTAAATCTAAAGACCCCGCCAGCTATTAACTTCTAGTAATATTACATCATTTTTTCTTCACCCAGTTACAGATTATGATATGGAAACTGAATTACAATTATTAGATCCTCACAAATTACATTTCGCCTCATTTGTTGATGCTACCTAGTTTATAAAGAAGCCCCTATGTCATGTCACAGGGACCCCAGGAACTATAATCAACTGTACGCAGTCTCTATGAGCGAGGGGGAGTATCAGCTGGTATCTAGTGTAAGAAATAGACAAGGGATGAAGGCTCCAGCCAGCTCATATTTTTTAAACTCGAAAAACAGTCAAAAAGAATGAAAAGTAAAATCTAAAAAAAAAAATACCAGGTTGAAGAATATTAGTTGCTCTTTCAAATTTCGCCAAAGCCTTACCTACATTTTACCGATATCTGCAGAATAAATCAAGAAAACTACACAAATTGACTCCATTTATGAATAATTAACGGTTTGCCCGAACGCACGACACAGTTGGAGGCGTGGCCTGTTCAGAATTAGTCAAAAAACAATCATAAGACTGGTTGGTTACGAGCCAGTTGAGCGAGGCTAGCCGAGTCGTAACCTCGGCGTGGTTCGTAACCAGTCTCATGTTTGGTTGTTGACAAATTTTGAAAAAGCAACAAATATTCTTCAACCTGGTATTTTTTATGGATTTTATTTTTCATTCTGTTCGTCTGTTTTTTTCCAGTTTAAAAAATATTAGCTGGCTTGGGCCTTCATCCCTTATAACCCCCCCCCCCCCGCTCATAGGGACTGCGTACAGTTTATCATGATGTCATAGTTCCTGGGCTCCCTGTGCATTTACAACTGGAGTCTTTCCCAACCAATTAAAAAGTGCCAAAATTACCCCCATATTTAAAAAAAGATTCCCCTTATTTACCCGTGAATTATAGACCAATTTTGATATTACCCATATTACGTAAAATTATTGAAAAAGCTGTAAACAAACAATTACTTTCATTTCTCAAAAAATGGAATATTCTCAACAAATATCAATACCGCACCAAGCTTGCTTTAATTGACCTAATTCACGAAATATTAACAGAAATAGATAATGGCAATATTGTATTTGGAATTTTCTTGGATCTACCGAAAGTATTCGACACAATTGATCACAAAATTCTTCTTTTAAAACTAAATTCATATGACATACGTGGGTTACCTTTAAACTGGTTGAATAACTACCTATCAAATCGAAAGCATTTTGTCCAGGCCGATGGTTATAAATCCATAATGCAGTAAAATAAATATGGTGTTCTCCAGGGTTCTATACTAGGGCCTCTATTGTTTCTTATTTACATTAATGATCTTCCTTCTTCGTCACCTTTCTTCCAATGTAAGCTTTTTGCCGATGATTCTAATCTATTCCAC